TATATATATATATATAATATATAATAATATATATATTAATAATAATATATAATATATAATTATATTATATTATTACTACTATATTACAATTTTCACGTAAAACTGCTTTCCTTCATTAAAGATTTAGTCAATTAGACACGTATTCGTTCGAAAGAAATTTTGCTTGAATATTTAAAAAAAATACACGATGCAGAATAACTGCATGTAAATGGAAGCAGCAGAAGAATTTTTAAACGACATAAGATGGAATCGTTGGAAAAGAAACACGCCACGTGTCAATCGCTAAATGCGAAACGGGTCAGCATCTGCTGAAATCCGAATCGTCTAGCTCCACCGACAAGCATTTGCTGACGTGACTGTCACTGATAACGCGGGCTGTCGTCTTCTCTCGAGAAAATTGGCTACTTCTAGAGAACACGAAACCTCTGTTGCCTGCATCGACAATCCTCTAAACTGATGAATACATGTGTACAGCTTTCATTACGATTAGACCACGACAACATGAGAAATTGGATAGAATTTGGATCCTCTGTCAGACGAGATGTCGGAACTGAATAAACTTACCTCTCGCATTTCGCTGTATATATACATACAGTAGCTCACGAAAGTACTCGAACGCCTTTTAAAAAGCAATAACTTCTTTAAAACTGAACTAAATGACTGAATTTTGTTTTTTAGATGATAGTAGGACTAATCCTCGAGATAATAACTGAAGTGCTTTTTCTTAATTTTGCTCTTATTTGAAATAACAAGAAAAGTAAAAAAACTCTCGTTCTTTAACTTTTTTACCTGAGCCTGTAACAAAAATTTAAAAAATGCCTTTCGCATATCTCGGTAACTTATATGCATCCTGAAAATTGTATCGTAATTGGTTGACGTTGTTATGAGTTATAAATAATTAAAGATCGCTAAAATCGCAATTTTGTCCCGATTTTTGACATTTTTGTCCAAAAGCTATAAGAAATCTGCAGTTCTTGAAATCTTCCAACGCCTGTAGCTTGACTCTAGGTTAATCGACTTCGATAAACTTTTCAGCAGGCATTTCTAAATGTTTGTTATAAGCTCAGATAAAAAAGTTAAAGAACGAGATTTTTTACTTTTTTTTTGTCATTCCAAGTAAGAGCAAAATTAAGAAAATGCATTTCAATTATTGTCTCGTGGATTAGTCCCTCTATCATCTAAAAAAAAATTCAAGTCATTTAGTACAGTTTGAAAAAAGCTATTGCGTTGCAAAAGGTATTCGAATACTTTCATGAGCCACTGTATAGCCTTTTTCGAAGACGAATACAATCCGCAGTTACTTTGGAATTATACAAAGTGTTCCATTTAAGTTTAGATTGTAAAAAATCTCGTAGACGCGTAATTTAAAGAAACAAACAAACTGACACACATGTCCTTTAGTATTTCGAGTGGAAATTCAAATAGCTATCCTACTTTTTTAATGCGTGGGCGTTTCAAGATTATTTCAAGATCATCTTGATTTATTTTATTATAAACCTATACTTTTTATTTTGACAAACATTTTTTTGTAATATGATATTCTTAAATGAAATAAAATATCTTCCACAGAAGAAAGTAACGTTGTCATTTTACTAGAAAAAGAAAATTATCCTTGACATAAACATCTCTACTATAACTGAATAAATATCTCCATTTTATCACAAGACTCTCACACTGCTGCAAATGATTCAAATGATTGCAACTTTTATAATTTTTTATTCTTTTTTATCTGAACTTTTACCATCGTGTCCATCTCGTTTTTCTGATTAAACTGACTATTAAATACGACATAATTACGATTATAATTATCACTCGTGTATCCATGATCAACAAAATGAGAGAAATACGATGATTGAAGTTTCATTGACGAAAATTCGAAAATAAGAAACTTTGATTTCTGAATTTAAAAGGCTCTAATGTTAGCCGAACGCCTCGAGCCTGAGTCCTTTTCTTTTCAATCATTTTTTCTCTAGATTTAGAACACTAGAAAGACGGCAGTATCTCTACCATAATTTTAACTCTGCAGGTTCGAAACTGTGCATGTTATGAAGAGAATACTGTATTGCAAAAAACAACACCTACATAATAAAATCAGTCCTAGACTAATAAACGATCGCGGACAATTGTATATGCACAATCTATTTGTAATGATTTTATCCAGCTCTCGTGCAATGAAGATAACATAACAACGATAATTATTGATAAAGATTCCCAGTGGGAGCATTATTATTTTCCTGCGAAGATAAGGACAAATTCGAAAATAGGATTATTTACCGCATTTATGTCGAGAAACGCTTGATTAAATGTTATTCTGTGTATCATTTTATAAATGGAGCTATTTTGTAGCTACACCTAATATTCCTATGTATTCGAATAATTCTTAAGTTGTAAGTTAGCTGTAGAACTCTCTCAATTCGGCACGTAGCATTGTATTCTCAGGAGTAAAAGCGCGCGATAACGGAGAGTAATAATAATGGAGAACTGCACTCGAGGCTATACGAACTAATGCACTTCTATATCCGAATGCAAATCTCGGAAATCACGCCTTCAATTAATGCACAATCTAAGAGAATGCGATGGAAGAAGTCTTATTAAACACCGAAGCTTATTACGTCGCTTACCGTTAGGACATTCGATTTTATTTTTCTGGGCTTCGTACAAATTATGTTAAAGACATCGATATTAATGCTTTTGCAAGGGAACATTTCCAAGTGTAACCGCCGATTTTAACGAGATTTTAGTATAATATAGTTTGTTGAAAAATATTTGATACGTATTGTTAAGGGCAGAAATGGTTGTTGCCCCTCACAATCGAGGGTGAAGACCATATTTTTTTAGACATCTCGAGGACCAGAGGGCGTAGAACAATGAATTCTTTTTAAATGCGTGTTTTTGATCGACAAATTTAATCACTTAAAAAATGTTTCGAAACAATCATATTTTTAAACAATATTTAAGAAATACAATTTTTTTTTCAATTCTCAATTATTTTTTATCCACTAACAATTGTTAATTTTATACAGGCTTTACACATTAAAACTTGCATTCTCGGTGTTTTAACGTCAATATCTACGAAAATATATTATACAAAGTCGACAAATTTCGATCCCCTAAGATAAATAATAGCCAAAACGTGTAATTATCAAAATGCAAAATTGCAGTGTTTACGTTTCGGAAGCGTAAACTACTCCGATTTTTTTATGCAGTAAAAATTCCACGTGGAAACGTGCACTTGTTATTGATTTATCAGCATTCAGTCATTTAAAAAACAACATAGAAGTAAACAAATTTCTCAATTTACTAAATATCCTTATAAGAAAATATTTGATTAAAAAATGTTTCGCACAAAAGTTTATCTTTTTTTTGAAATCGAGTAACTTTAATATCTAACATTTCTCCCGTAAATGCGTTGTTTCCGAGCTATTTAGATTTGAAGTTTCCGTATGGTTGCGTACAAAAAAAAACTTAAAAATCAAAATATCTCAAGAACGGAGGACCATTTGGAAAAATCCTATTAGATTTTTCTAATATTAGACGTGTTCGCCTTATTAATAGAGTGGTGCCTACTTGCATACAAAAAATTGTTTCAATACATGCAGCGCAGCACTTTAGAATAAGAAATCCCAGGTACATTTTTTACATAATGTATACTTGAGTCGTTTATTTTGAAAGTGGCATAAGCCACTTTGTTTTTAAGTCGATATATTTAAGGGTTTGCGTTTTATCACATGTTTAAAAACATGGTTGCAAACTTTCGAGAAGATTTACTTGTATCTGTTATCTCAGGATACTGATATTTTTCTCAGTATAAATAATTTCGTATAAACATTAAAAAATCACCACTTTTCATTACGGTAAAGTGACTTCAGCCACTTTCAAAATAAATAGTTTAGAAAAATGACTGACATATATTGATTTTGTCCGACGTATTTTACTGAAATGATGTTTTGAAAAGACCGTGATTGACTAAAATTGTTGAATAAATTACATATATAATAATAATTTATACCATGAACGTATTTAATATAAAGGTTTGATTTAAGTATTTTTTATTTTAATATTCATAAAATACAAAAATAATTAGTACATTTTGAAACATACGTATAAGTAATTTATATGAAAATACATCAGTTCAATTTAATTTTCGTCATCAATAGGAGTGATTAAGTCCTCGGAAATCGTGTTTTGTTTCAAATTTTTAAAATAACTGTGGTATATTGGGGGTATATAATTAAGCAAGTCCATCATGTCTTTGTATTTTGCTGAAGAAACAGGACGAGATCCAGCGTATAACGGATCCATTTCTATTTGTGAATAACGCCTAGCTCTTCCTCTTTTTGGTGACAAATCCAAAGTTAGAAATTCAATTTTTTCATCTAAAGTTAGTTTATAAAACATTTTATAGCCATCTGCTGGCGGGTCTGGAGGTAGCCGCCACATCACTATAATATAATTTACAAAACTGCACTATTCTTTCGCACTTATAAAAATAAGTCCAGTGATCACAACTTTTTTAAAAATACTGAAAATAATTCAAAACAATACTTTACACACACTTATCACACGTTTCTATTTCTTTTACACTAAGCCCCGCAATTAATTTCCTGAGTACAACGACTCACACCGCTTTCAAAATAAACATGTTTGTTATACCGATAATTAGCAAAACTTCTCTCGAACAAATCTTAATAGTTCTCAACTTATTGATTGCAAATTTTTTAAAAATGAAAACATACTAGTGTTACCATAGATAGATACCAAGATAATTAGTGTTACCATTAACTCGATTTTTTTGAAAAAGTAACTTATGCCACTTTCAAAATAAACGGCTCACTTATAACACAGCGAACAGTAAAATATACGACGTGCAATACATTGCACGTGAGTTAGCACTGTATTAGAATAACCATAATACAGGAGTTCACCTCGATATTCACCATATCAGTTGAATTCTGAACGAGGCGTTAACGAAATGTGTCAAAATAATCGTATGATTTTAGGGTTATCCTGGCGGGATAGGCTTACCAGGATTGCAAGGTGAACCTGGCGATGCAGTGTACGGCGTGAAAGGTTCGCCAGGAGAACTGGGAGATAGGGGTGAACCTGGGCCGCCTAGCAGTCGTGAATACAGGAAGTCTAACGGATCCACACTGGTAAAGGGATTTAAAGGCTACAGAGGAATGCGCGGTGATTATGGTGCACGGGGACGAAAGGGAGAAGTGGGCTCTAAAGGTCTCCCGGTAAGTACTATCGCATAATTTTGTAAATAGTGCAGATAAAAAAAAACGATCAGTTATGCTAAAACGAAATGATCGGTTCTGAAGCTTTATTATTAGGAACTTCGAATAAGGGTCAAGATAGCATTTAGGCAATCAGCGGGGAGTGAGACGCACGACTCTGGAGGCGTAGTCCTCACGATCCTCATGTTGCGTGCTAGTTAATTCCGAGTCCTGTCTTAGACGAATGATGATGAGCTTTATGTGTTACTTCTATATTTATAGAAGTAATATTGTATATATTTTGGAGTATATATCACATAGTGTATATGTTCACACATCTGGACACACTGATTTCGATAAAATTTCTGCGAGAGATAATTTTCGAAAAACTATTTGTCACGTATTACTTTTTTATCAGCCATCACCTGTGTTGAAAAGCTGAAAATAACCCTTCAAGTTAACGATAAAAAGTACAATATTTCTAAATGCTAGAAGAAACGTGTAGAAATCCTAATTGGCCTCTACAAGATCAGAAAATAACAGTTTCTCTTTGAAAAAATTACTTGACTCGCAGAAAATAAGATTTTTCAAAAGTAGTTTCAATTATAGTTCCGTGCACTCAACAATTAAATTCTAAGTATGTAAAAAGATATAAGAGATCGCTAATTAAATTCTGCAGAGAAATGATGATGGGATGTCCTCGAATCAAGACCAAGATTATCAGCGTGTAGTCTCTTTAAGCAAATATTTATCAGCGGTTCATAAACAGTTTCAACCTCTCTGGCTTATATTACCTCGTTTATATTACTTACTGGTTAAATCATAAATAAATATAGCACATAGAGGTTTCTCCAACATTTGTACAAATCTCATAAGCACTCGGTTTGGCAGATTCAGCATAAATGAGCCAATTCAATAAATACAGGTTTTGCACTAAAAATTAATCCTTTTGTAGATCATATTCCCCCTCTTTGCGAATCAAATTAACCCTTCTGCTGGTTATATTCATCCTTTTGCAAATACAATTAACCCTTTGACAGATCAAAATTGGCAATTCAATTTTTTAATTTAACGCGAATTTAAAAAATAATGCAGACAATAATTAATCTTCATAAATCTTCAGCAACTATTTGAACAATCTTATTAAATTTTTTAATTCAATATGAATTTTATTATAACTAATTGCATACACGTGAATTTAATTTGCAGAAAAGGTAAATAAGATCAGCAGAAGAGGCAATATGGAGTGCAAAACCTGTTATTTCACCAACATGACACTGAGATTATTCAATTAAAAATGTTTTTTATCCCACACTTGAAGCAAACGTCTTCTTTAGCTGCATATTTAGCAGCTCTTACTTCGGAACAACAATAACTCTTGAATGTCCAATCAATTAAAATGAATGTAAATACTTTTACTCTCGAAAGTGTTCGAACGTTTTTTAAGTCGAAAGAACTTTTTAAAAATTGAATCAAATGGATTGAATCTGTTTAAATTGTAAGAGGAATTACATAATTTGTTAAACAATGTCTAAATTAGTTCTTTAAAATTATAATTAGTTGAAATGAAAGAGAAATATAAAAACCTCACGTTTTTTAACTTTTTTATCTGAGTCTATAACAAAAATCAGAGAAATGCATTTTGTAGACATCGATCACTTGTATGTATACAGGCTGAAAATTTCATTGAAATCGGTTCATGAATGTAGCAGTTTTTGACGAATTTCAACCAAAACCGGGCCACTTTTATATCTTTCAGTGGCTGTGGCTTGACTATACATCAACCGATTTCAGTGAAATTTTCAGTTTGCATAAAAGTTATCGAGATGTATATAAAACACATTTTTAAATTGTTATTGACTTACATAAAAAATACATAAGTTTTAAATTTTCTATCATCCGAATCGAACAATTTTTTAACAATTGTCTAGTAAACTAATTCCTGTAACGTTTCAAAAAGATTTAAATCGCTTGACCTAATAATATAAACATTATTCCGTTTTAAAAGGTGAACGGGAACTTATTGTTTTGACTGTATGTACATCACTTTGGAAAGTACTGGTGGTTTAATTTTTACCTGAAAATACGAAATTATGCAACAATGTAATAATTAGCAGACTCGGGCAAATGTTATTTTAAATGAAAATAAGAAGTAGCTACCTGATATAATTCATCCTGAATTGTTATTGTCAATGCAGTTATTTGAAAATACAAATAATATAGATCCATTTGAAAAAGTAGCAATTTTAAATAATGGAATTATTTCTTTATTTTATTTATTTTAAACATGGCTAAAGAAATAATCCTCCAAATAATATACAACGATAAGATTTGACTTGGAGAAACCGTCGCATTTAAAAGGTTCTTGTTTTAACAAGATATTATTTAAAGAAATCTTTGAACGAAATCTCTCAAAAAGTTTATCTTTATCAAATTTTTGTCAGGGTATCTCTAATATTATTACGAAGAAAATAATCGTTCCGATGTTGCAAAAGATGACAAAGGGGCGATATTAAAAAAAAATGTGTCCCATTATAGGATAACCATTTAACATAGTCAGATGTGGTCGTTTTGTTTTGCAGAAATGTCAACAGGGATGTCAAAATAAATCAGACTCAGAGCTAATAATTAGATGAAAACAAAATTTCTAAGAAGCATTTATTTTACAATTATCTGAAATAATTCTTTCAAATAACTCTAAAATAAAATAACAAGTTATTTAAAGTGATATTTCAATAACGTTATTTTAAAAGTGATCACGAGAGAGAGCATGTAAATAATTATTTGAATTAATTATTTGAAATAATATTTCAAATAATGTTATTTCAAATGTGCCCAGGTCTGATAATTAGTAAACTCTAATAATATAGTAATATACGATAATAAAGTAAACTCTTCCTCCGATATAAATTGAAAAATTCCCTGTGAATTATTGTACTGAGTGATTAATGAGGTTATTAAATTTGTACACGCAGGGCCGGCCAGGTTTTCTGGGTATTAAAGGTATGAAAGGAGAGCAAGGCACGGACGGGCCGAGAGGAAAACAGGGTGGAGTTGGTCCGATTGGACCCGCGGGCGAAAAGGGAGAGAAAGGTGCCCCGGGTTATGAGGGAAATCCAGGACCGTCAGGACCCGATGTAAGTATTTTTAGTCGAATCATGGCGCGTTACATAAGAAACCCAAATATTCGTAGCTAATAAGTGGACTGTCGATTCTACGCATCTATAACAAAAATTATTACAGCAAATGCAAGACTGCAAGAAAATTTATTAATTCTTAGATACTGTTGAATTTTCTTTCAAGTCACGAAAATAATTTGACAAGCGAAGGAAATATCCATGTAGCTCCCTGTATTTTCCAATTAATGCACACAATTTCTATTTTGTGTAGAAGTTTTTAGTCTACTAATAAGTAAAAATTCTTTTATTTATCTGTTTAAAATCTTTTATAACATTCTCATACGAACATTTGAACTTTTACATACAATTGAAATAAACATATGAATATATGTACATTCATCCAAATAAATTGAAATTCGAAGAATGCAGGAAGGGAGCAGCTTATCTCATTTTATTACATATCAAATCTCAAAGTTTTTTATTTTTGTACAAAACATTATCGAATAGTTCCTACAATTTTCTTCATTCTTAAATAATTCTTCCCAATTTCAACTCACTTCTTCAAGGTCATTTCGAGGTTTCATACATCTTGAGATAAATAATTTTTAGTAATCGTAATTTATTATATAATAATTAAATCATTATAAATAATTATAAATAAATATTATAAATAATTATAACTAAATATGAGAAATAATTATAACTAAATATGAGAAATAATATTATAAAGAAGATTATTACAAATTATTTATTATCCAATAAATTATTAAATAATTTTGAGGCTATAGTTTTATACGTGTCTAAATAAATAATATTTGATAAACCACAGATGTTAACAAACAAATAAATATCGATCACTTTGAGAAGGACGTCAAGATGACCTTGAAAAAACTTTTTCTTTCCATCATTAGATGCAAACCTTGACATTATTCAAATCCATCATTGTTCATTTTTTTTCTACCTTTAACAGTAACGGAAATAATTTAGATGTTCGATTTAAAAAGAACACCCTGTACAGTTCACTACATATATTAGACAGTTACTTCATTTAGGTGTTTCTAAATCTGATAGTATCATGTGACGTTTATTATGAACTTAATGTAAAAATTGAATGCTACTAGAATAGTGAGAAAATAAAGATAATTTCAATTTTTTCATTTCATATCCTATATTTGTGATGTCTATCTTTACATTCTGAAAATCAAACTGCATTTGAATCAAGTTCTATGTTGGTCATCATCTCGAATAGATCGTAACGTGCTCATTGTGAACAAACGTAAACATGAATTATAACATATATCCTACGTAGAAAAATCGTATACTAGATCGTTTAGTATAAAATGTCAGATTATTCGAAGAGAAAAACTAATTATTTTGTTTATCGAAATGTCAACCATTTGGTTGAGCATATCTTTGTAAACTTTTCGCATTTAGGGTTTCGATAAAAAATTTCTCTTTCGGAAAAAATCGCAGAAAAGTTTCTTATAATTTGTAATCAATAAGGAACCGGACATTTTTCATATTACACGATCTTATAACAATAAATATCCGAGTAACTAAGTTACAAGTATTGCAATTATTAAATTCAGGGCGAGCTCGGCGAACCGGGAAATCGTGGCGCTCCCGGTAAACAAGGAGCAGCTGGAGAACCTGGAAAATACATACCGGAACTCGACGAAATAATTGAAGGGAATATTGGAATTCAAGGAGACTTAGGTTTGTTCTGATTTCTTAAAATATCTTTATAGATTTGTTCGGTCGGTCAACTTGCGGAAACCCATAGGTAACCCCGCTACAAATATTAACCTTATAATATTACCCTTGCCTTATAATATCGTGTTAGACGCGTAACGAAGACTTGGAAAATGATCCATTAAATATGGATGTTATTCGTATCCTTCAAATCGAAATCAAATTCCACTATTCTATTATCGATATTTAAACATTAAAGTAAACTCTGGCGTGCAATAAACATAGACTTTCTTTCTCGTGTAGAAACCGTAGTGTGTCAAAGGGTTAAGAAACGGAGACCAAAAATAAGAGTTATTTGAAGAATTTGTGTAAAAAAGATCAGTAATAGAAACGTGTTTATTATTCAAGCTGAAGCTATTAATCGCGAAATGTAATAGAAATTGTTTAGAATGCATGATTACGTGATTTCAATGACTGAATTGATTTATGACTGAACTTTTATATTGGTCACTTGTTTTTCGACGAGGGAAATTTATTCCAATTATTTGTAACAGTTATCGGCGAGGGAAATTCAGCTTTTATCATTCGTAATGGTTACCAATACACTACGAATTTTACGTATTTATGACGAATATGAATAGGTGAAATTCGAAACTGCAAAGGAATTAGAAGAATTTAAAGATATTGTCGTTTTATTTGTGAATTATTACAATTATTATAAGAGAAAAGATATTGTTATCCAACTTATGTCTCTTATAATTAATTTAGACAATACTTATTTTACATTAAGTCTAGTTATCAGTGACGAAAACTGTATTGGTCACTGTTAACAATTATCGTAGAGCAAAACTTATTTGACTCGTTCATAAAAGTGATCCATAAAAGAAATTGTACGCAATTTTCAATTGTTTCTAACTTTCAACAACGTCAAACAATTTCGATGGAAATTTCAGTATGCATATAAGTTATCAAGATCTACGAGACGTATTTTTTAAATCTTTGTTATAGTTTCAGATAAAAAGGTTAAGAAACGTGAGTCTTTTATTTATTTTGCCATCTCAAGTAATAGCAAAATTAGAAAAAACGTTGTAGCCATTGTTTAGTAGACGAATCTCTCTGTGATCTAACAAAATTCAAGTGATTTAGTCCAATACAATTTTGCCTCTGACTGTACCTCGTGCAACTCAAGTTCGCACATATTATGTTCGTATGACATTTTTCACTTATTTTGGCGTGTAGATTTACCGCGTGATGTACTAACATGTATTTATGAAACACTCTGTATAATATGTGATCGAAATACAATTCCTGATATTTCTGATTACTATGAGTGATCAAAATAGGATTTCCTTCTGCGATAACTGTTAGAAGCAATCGAAATTAATTTTCCTCTTCGATAATTGTGATAACCAGATTGCGGATTTTAAACATTTATGATAATAACAGGTTGTTAAACGGAAATGATTAAACCAAGAACGAAATTTCTATCTTGTTTCGGTTCGTTGCAATTCATTCGTTGCAGTTTAGTTATAAGCGACCGTAATTGACAGAATTTTCTCTCAACGATAACTCTTTTCACTAGACTGCAGATATTTAGACAAAATAAAAATTGTCTAACTTGATTAAAAGAATCGCAAATCAGGTAAAATTGTCTTTCCTCTATTAATCATTTTGGTAAATCGTACATAATATAAAAATATTCTCAAATTCTTCTCATGTCTTTACAATGTCGATTTTGATCTAACCATTTTTGTCATAAACGCATCAAATTCGCAGAATACTCATCACTAGACAACGAATTTTATGCATTTGTGATAAAAATGGTTAGGGGAAATTTAAAACAATGAGAATATTAAAAGAATTTAAGAACATTTACGTATTATTTTCGATTCGCTAAAATTATATAAGGAAGAAAGAAATTTTTATCGTATTTATTGCAATCGATGACGATAATTTTTATTTTGTATAAAATCCACAGTGTACCTATCATTAGCTCAAACACATTTTCGTCATCAGTATTGAATACGAAAACGAAATTTTGGACACATGTGACTGTTATTATCTATAATTAAAAGCATTTGAATGAAAATAATAATTGTTGTGCAACGATTTTGTTTACGATGATCGTAATAGTTATGATCCCCGCAAGGAAATAATATAAATAGTTGTAAAAATCACTTCTATTTGTTCAGGTCCGCCTGGTCCAATGGGACAGCCAGGGACGCCAGGTTTACCTGGTAAAGTGGGTTACATCGGACCACCTGGTCCACCAGGGCCTGCTGGTCCTCCTGGATCGGCAGGGCCAAAAGGAACTTCCGTGAAAGGAGAGCCAGGATCTGATGGCACGTATATGACAATATTTCTCTACAAATCATCATCAATATATCGAAATATTTCGAGAATATTTCTATTTGCACCACGTTAGGTCTTCCTGGACAGATGGGCTCTCAAGGTCCTCCAGGTTTAGTCGGACCCCCTGGAGACTTTGGACCGAAAGGATTTCCTGGTATAACTATTATTGGACCACCGGGTCAAGACGGAAAACCTGGAATACCGGCTCGTACTGGGGCACCTGGCGATCGTGGTGATCCGGGACCTTCTGGTAAATGATTATTTTAATTATTTCTATGTTCGTCATCTTTATGTTGTGATATTGGCTTTGCTTTGTTGGTACGTTGGTGTATAAGAGATATTTGTTGAATATAGGAAGTGAGTATCGAATTAAACAATAAATATATAAGCTCGTTGATAAGATAACTTGACAAAACAATTTGTTGTCTAAAGATCGTTGTATATCAGAAATAATTTTCAATTATCGTGAAAGACGATTGCGGCGTGTAGTATTGGCTAATTCTTTGAAAATTACCGTCCATTCCGTTTCAAAGCTGTCAATTTGAAATAAGATTTTAGAAGATATTGTCCTTTTGATGTTCATTAAGTTTTGTCATATTCCGGGTGTTTGAAAAGTCGTGATACAGCCGGATTTTCACACACAACTTAATTTTCGAAAAAAAATCGAGTTTGACGCTTAGGCACAGTTTGCATAGTTTTATTGGCCCGTTAAAACCTATTGTTGCTTGCCTGTGTAAACCATATCAATTAGAAGATGATATAATGTTAACGTAGTTGGTAAGTGTAAGTAATTGGTAAATGTAAGTAGTGAGTTGTGAATTTCAATAATTGATTTATTTTAGTAATTTACAAACGTGGAAAATGTCATCTTTGATGTTGTACCTAACAAATAAATATTGTCTATACACGAACCTAACGAATTTTCCAACTCGATTTTCTTGAGAATGATGCCCTGGGTGAAAAAATTGCATGCTATATTTTCGACTCTAAATCTCTCTCTTCCGATTGTACCACGACTTTTCTAACACCCTATATAAAATTGCCAAATAAATATTCATCCTAATTCCGTATACCCTAATCAAACAACTTTATTAACGTTTCTACTTATACCAATATTTTAGTAGCCTAATTACAATGTAATTATGAAAAGGTTATTCCAATGTGAAACGCTTTGTTTTTAGTGTTTGTGGAAGATCGTTTTTACAGAAAAACTGTAACACATTTCTTTTTTTACTGCTTATCCAAAAAACAAACATAGAGATTCTTGATCTAGATGAGTTTGACTATAGAAAGTAGAACGAAAAAAAGTCGATAATTTATAAAATGGCAGAACTTTTATTTATCGCCTTTTCACATGCCCCAGAGGTGCACATAAAATTTTAAACTAAGTAAACAAATAGATTTTGAGATATCATGAACGTCATTTTAAAAAACACAGATCTAAGAAAAACGTGTTTAACACTACAACTGCCGAGTCCAAAACGTGACTAATGTAATCGTTTTATAGCAATGGCAAGTTGAATTCATTTAAACGTCGTACGATTTTTATTATAATATATGCAGGTACGAAAAAGTTTTGCAGATATTGTAAAGAAAAAATCGGATAATAAGCCACTCAGTGGTTGATGCGACTTCAAACACTGGATGTAAAAAAAAATCGGATATTAGTCATTTTTACTGATTTGACAGTTTTGATATTAAAGTTTCATCAGCGCGGACTGATTTTTTATAAAGTTGGACATAAAACGTGTATTTTCTCGATCTCGAACAGAAATATAGCTGTTACTGCCTGTGCATAAAACGTTGTTAAACTATTACTGTTCGACGTATATTTATTATCATTTTCTTTTTTTGATATTATTATTTTGACGTCATTGTTTCTTTCAAATTTACATAATGATAGGAAATTGTACGCGGTGTCAGTTACTGTTATTGTATACTGGGTGTCTCATGTAACAGTCGCCACGATTTTTCCAGCACTTCCGTCGGTCCGGCAAAAAATATCCCTAACAAAAATTAATTAGTTTTTGATCAGCACAGATTGCAATATAAAAAATTTCAGGAGAAATGTCTCACTGGAAAAAATCAAGATCACTTTTATTTTTTTACACGGCATGACATATTTTTTTAGGTCATACTATTATAGTTTGAGTGAAGATAAATTCAACGATCTGTTATAACATGACCTTCGAATGACCTTGATGTCATAAATGATGAAAAAGATTTTCTTCGAATTAGTATAATGTAAACTAAAACAATGTTCAACGAAATAATATCAATTCATTGATTTCACTTTTTTGGCATCAAGATCATCCGAAGGTCATGGTGTAACAGTAATAGCATGAAGAAAAAGATATACCATGTCATTTTAAAAAATATATGTGATCTTGATTTCTTGCAATGAGACGTTTTTTTCAAACTTTTTATATTGCATTCTGTAGCTGACCAAAAACTGATTAACTTATGTTTGGAACATTTTCTTGTCAGACTGTGGGTAGTGCTCGAAAAACTGCGACAATACTTACGCAGTACACCCTGTATAATGCAGAGCAAGATCGTAACTTCTAACGTATATTCTTTGAAATGCTTTTTACCGCATAGAATTATTTAGTTCCACTTCCAAATTACGGTCCTTTAAGAATGTTAAATGTAAGCGAGTATTGCATACTTTAACGGGACATTTATGTGTGAGTAGAAATATTGTAGTATTTTCTTATCTTATTGTAGTATTCTACAAATGGGATAAAAATAGTACTCGTGTAATATTAAATTCGCTAATTTTAGGAATTCAGGCATGGATTTTTGAATTTAGAAGCTACATTTTTTAAGAAAATGCAAATATAGTAAATCAATGGTTTCAAGCATTCACGCTGATTAAAGTCTAATACTTTGAACTTTTTAATATTATTTTTATTATTAGAAATTTAGACTAAATTTAATTAATTCTGCAATTAATTTAAAATAAACTTATTATTATTAATCGGTATTAATAACAACAATAATAAGCTTTTTTCTGTCTTCAATAGGAGCGAAAGGATTCCCCGGTAAAGGTATTAGAATACAAGGACCACCCGGTGAACGTGGACTGCCAGGATTACCAGGAATTCCGGGCTCGGACGGATGGCCCGGTTCACCAGGTCCAAGAGGTCAAAAAGGCTACAGGGGCGATGATTGTGGCGTTTGTGCACCAGGTACGAACAATTTACTAACAATGAAACAAACATACCTTCGTAAAATTTTGCTTGAAAAGCGATTCATGTTTAAAATACGTTGAATAACTTTGTCTGTGTTATTGCAACGAATCATTCGTTGTTAAAATTTATATCACACAATTCAGCATACATTTCTCACAGTTGCTCGTGTTGGCTTTAATATTTCTAATGGCTAATAATATTCCTTTGAGTCCACAAACTATTCAAATAAGATATAATTATATTTAAAAGCATAAAATTTATTGGAACTCAATATAATCGATAAGCTTCCTTCCCTTCATTTTTAAACAATTATTTTGTTTCACCATGTTGAATACATGCAAATAAATATAAAGAATAAGAAAATCTAAAAAAAAACAAGATAGTATTAATATAAACACTATATAAAAATATACTATATAATAGAACTATATTATCGTATAAATAAAATCAATAGAAATAAATGATGATTAAAATTGGTGATTAATAGACTGCGGATCTGTATGCAAATAAAAAATTGTAAGAAACGTAAACCCGACGAAAATGTCTTCTCTGTTTTAATCATTTGGAAAAGTTGTATATAATGTAAAAATATTCTCAAATCCTTCTAATATCTTCATAGTTTTGTATTGGACCTACTCAGTTTTGTCGTAAATGCATAAAATCCGCAGTTTACGGATTAATGTTAAGAATATTTGAAACTTATAAAAATGTTTGTCCACGATATACCGCTTTCTGAGCACGGCTTTGAAAATCGATGTCTGATGGATCACATATATTATCCTATAGTTTCGCTCCATTTACGACTGACGAGACAATATCAGTTTACTAGCGCGACTAATGATGATAGCATTTCTATGCAGAATCCATCAGACAGTTATCACTGTAAATACAGCTTACAGGGAATTTATAACGTTACCATACATAAATTGATCGAATAGATCCGAGAGATTAAAATTTACAATTTCGTCTAATTAAATTTCAGCAACACGAGTACGAATGTGCTATAAATATAAAGTTATCTTACATATATCTTGCATTTTCCTCTCCTAAATTTATACGAATCCGAAGCAAGTACTTTCTAACTTCTATGAGATAATTATCGTTCCCAAAAAGATAGCTGTCCGACTTTAATAGATCCATTGTTGTTACTCTTAAATGTTTTAGTAGTTTTCAGCGTCCATGACGAAGCTAACCTGCCTATCATATTTAGCTCGATTATAACATTTTTACACTATATATATATATGGACTAAGTTCAAAATTATATTAAAGTATTTTCTTTATATTTGTCATTAGTAGCGATTAATAAACTATACTAAACTATACTAGTAAATGATGAGAGTCAAATTATTAGATCCTAAAAAGAAGGCAGAAAGATATGAATGAGAATAATTACGATGATAAATTATTGAAAGCAGTCAATTATAAAGAGGTAGACTTCAATAATGAAGTTAAGAAAATAGGTGTACTAATAATAAACAAATTTATGCTTTACAATAAATACTTTCACCATAGTTTGCTTTCTCGAAAAGGAAAACCGCGCGTTAGAAAACTAACTTTTAATGTTAATAGCCAGCTCCTTTCATCGCGAACGTAGGTTTATTCTCTAAACGAAATTGTTCTCAATTGAATGAATACATTTGTATAATAATAGAATCATTGTTTACGTAGGATTGCCTGGTGACAAGGGTGAATCTGGTGACGCCGGACTGAACGGATATCCTGGAGCGCCCGGTTTTCCTGGATTGACAGGACCGCGCGGACAGAAGGGAGCTCACGGGAAGCCTGGTATTGCTGGACCAGGAGGATTGGAAGGCGACAGCGGAAGACCTGGAATCGCTGGATCTCAAGGACCCAAAGGAGAAAGAGGAAGAATCATTCTGCCTCGAGGACAATTGAAAGGAATAATTGGTGACGTTGGTGATAAGGGTTATCCTGGTCTAGAGGGGCTGAGAGGGCAAAAAGGCGAATACGGTCTTACCGGGGATTCAGGCCCGCCAGGGCCTAAGGGAGAGAAGGTGAGCAAATTTCTTTAAATCCGTAACACTTGAGCAATTACGTTTTCAAAGAGACAACGTCTTTCTGGAGAAGTTAAGAGTTCTAACGAATACACCTTTTATACTTTCTCAAAGAATAGAATTTCGAAAACATATTACTACCCGGTCAGCCAAATGTTCCCTAAACAAATTCTGCAAAAGGCTGTCAATTTGATTACAAGATGATCAACTTCATTCAAATTTTGTCGACGATTTGATACAAATTTACACCCTGACAAGAAGAAGTTGTAGTAGTTGGGTCATTGATCTCGGTAAAACTGTCTTTGATTAATCTACAGGGTGTCCCACACAGAACTCAAAACGTTCAGATCGCCTATCCCATAGGCGATGTAAAGTAACATTCTCCTTAGCGAAAATGTTCGCCGCCTCTTTGTTAATGAGTTATTAACGAAAAACATGGGCCAATCAAAGAGCGAGTACAGCGAGCGAATATCATCGCGCTAGCAAGCTCGACGCGGCAGTAGCCGCTCTGATTAGACCGCATTTTTCGTGAATTTCGTTAACGAAGCTATGATGAAATTTATTTCGAGCTGCTTATAATATTTTTTGGACACCCTGTATGAGGAAGCAACGATTATCATATCCTCTTCGCACTAAAATTTATATACCTACCGATGTCTTGCAAATGCCATTTTCTTTTTGCTTATAACTGTCATTTGTTTAATTAACAGTTGTTTTATCAACTACCTATACGTTTAAAGCAAATATTGCAACTTGAAATCTACATATGATTGGTATTTTAAGGTGCGTTCAACGAAACTATGAAACACTTTTTAATTCACCTACTCTCAAACGCTGTTCAATTGATTATTTCATGAAGAGTACAGAATCCTTAGAACTGATCTGAACTTTAATCAGTCTTATAGTGTCCGAAACCATCCCTTTCCCGGCGTACACCCTATACTGTAAAAATATGCCGACTCAGCAAGTGCATCCAAAAATGGGAGACTTTTGCCGCTCAAAGTGCACCAAATAATTTAATAAATTACGAGGCTAACGAACATTTACTACCTTAACTATTCTGTGAATCTCGGTGGTGAAATAGACTCTGGCTTAAATTCTATTCTTTGAGACAAACTCCTATCTTACTTCCCCTTGTGGGTCCAGACGGTGACAAAGACATCCCACAGTGGAGCATTTACCCCGAAAATGCGAAAAAACGACATTTTATAAAAATATATCTATAATGAACAATTTCTTCACCACTAGTTCATTAAACATATATTGGGTTGGCAACTAAGTAAATGTCGATTTGTTCAATGAAATAAAAAATTTTTTGTTACTTGGAATGAAGTTTAATCTGTAATGTATTTTCCATTTTGTTCGATGACCTTTTGCCATCTCTCTGACAACTTGAAAATCTCACGCTCGTAGAAAGTCTGATCCTTTTCGGCCAAAAACTGAGTTAAGTGAGATTTTACAGCGTCATCATCGTTAAAAGTTTTACCACGAAGGGAGTTGTCCAGGGATCGAAATAAGTGGTAATTCGATGGCGCGAGATCAGGGCTATATGGTGGGTGTAACATCAATTCCCAACCAATATCCATCAATTTTTGCCGAGTGGACAAAGACGTGTGCGGTCTAGCATTGTCCTGGTGGAGAATGACACCTTTACGATTGACCAATCCTGGTCGCTTTTCCTTGACCGCTGCATTCAATTTGTCCAG